TTCCCCCCACTCCTCAAGGGTATGAGGTTGCCTGGAACAGGGGTGGTGGAGGGACCGCACAGGGTAGGAGGGTGTGTGGTGTGTGTGCGCGCAACATCAGTTCCGAGCTAGCAGCCGTTGCGAGTGTATACTTGCACGACTGCGACACACCCGGACATATTGAGCAATCTTATTGCGATAGATTGGTTGTTTGTCATTTACGATGGCGAAAATTGAGAAGCTGGCTAACCAGCTGAAAGAGAAGAAAGATGCTGTCGCCATGCTGGCAGAGCAGATGCGAAACCTGCAAGAAGCCTTCTTGCAAGCACAACAGGAGATCGAGGACCTGAACGGGAAGCTCCGCAGGGCCACGAAGAAGGCCGCAAAGAAGACCGAAGAAGGCGAGGCAGAGGACCACCAGGCTACGTCGGACGAGATGGACGCTCAAGAAGAGGACACCCAACGGACCGAAGAGGATAGGACCACGACAGAGACAGCAAGCAACGACGACACCGATTTCAGTGTCGCCACCAGACGGAAAAAAAAAAGCGGGTGCGAATTTCCTCCTCCGAAGACGAGACGCCAAGGCAGCCAAAGATGCCAGCTGCCGCCACCAAGAACGAGTCCTAGAGCAGCCAGGACCGCCGATGCAAACATGTGCCAACTGATCCAGAGCTATCTAACACAAAGACGGTTCGCGGTGAGGATTGGTACATGCCATTCAACACGACGACAGCTGGTAGCAGGCGTGCTCCAGGAGTCAGCCTCAGTCCCCCCTGCTCTACAACATCTATACTCATGACGTACCGAAGACAGCTCACACAATGCTGGCCCTATATGCAGATGACATTGCTATCGCCGCTAAGCATCGACGACCCGAGATTATCCGTAGCAGACTACAGGATGAACTGGACTGTTGCGTGAAATGGAAAATCCGTATCAACGTCCAGAAGACGCAGGCAATCTTCATCCAACGAAGAAGGATTGCAAGCCCTCTCGAAGCATCCATCATCGACGAAGATATCCAGTGGAGCGACAAGGTCAAATATCTGGGGATCGTATTTGACAAGTCCCTCACCTGGAAAGACCACACATAGAAGCTGTCATCGCAAAGACCAGAGCAGCCATGGCTCAACTCTACCCAATACTGGGTAGACACAGCCGGATGCCGCTAGCGACCAAGCTACGGCTGATCAAGGCCATCGCCAGACCTCAGCTCGCTTACGCCTCCGCGGTCTGGGGGTACGCTGCTCTAGAGATGAAGCTACTCCGGATCGCCACCAACCGATCCATCCTACGTAAGAAACTCAACCTTGCGTAGAGACCTGCATTGGGACACCATTCACGAGTACATGAGGAAAAAAGCGGAGAAGACCTTCCAGAAAGCTCAGGACCACCCTAACGAGCAGCTACGATTCCTCATGAACTACGATCCGGACGAGAGGCATCGCAACCGCAGAACCAGGTACCCTAGACCAAGGTCCCAGTTGGCACCCGCTAGTTGGAACCTTGACTAGGAGACTAGGAGAACCCGCGGTTGCTGCAACATCAAAAGTATCTGAAAACCGTCCTGTAGCCGCGACATCCCCGACTGGTACTAGAACAACCCGACGACAGAACTGGGTGGTCGGGGTCAGTGTGTCAGGTCGGTATGCAACCTGCAACCGACGGTCACGGTCACGCGCGTAGAGGTAAACGAACCGGTATAATCGATTGCGTTTCAATAAAAAACAACGAGCACTAGAGACGTGGCTAGAGAAGTGCAAGTATCAAAAACTAAAGTGTGGCAAGCGCTGCGTGAAGAGGGGCTGTATCCGTTTCACGTCTAACGTGTACAAGCCCTTCAACCTGACGATTTTCCAGCAAGAGTGCGGTTTTGTGAGTAGTTGTTGCATCAACATGACAATAATCCGGACTCTTTGAAGTGCATATTCGTGTGACAGACGAATCTATGTTCACGCGTCGGGCACATTTTCAACAAACATTTTCGGTGAATGATAGGGCTGGCATGGTGAACGGTATGCTCATTGGACAATTTATTCTCCCAAATCGATTGGACGGGATGCAATACCTAGACTATTTACGCAACATTTTACCTTCCTTGTTAGCCTACGTCTGCTCGGTAGCGCATCAGCTGATTTCATTTTCTGTTGGAGCGGTATGATTTCTGGCAGAGACGTACTTAGCCCTTCTGGTCAACTGGAGAGAGAGTAATTTCACCAATATTTTTTTATTTACTCGGTCGTTGTCGTTTCACTACACATTACCTTTGTTATTTCAAGGGTAGTTGTTTCTGAAAAGGAAAACCCCAACTTCGCGGACATCCCGTATATGCCGCATCCGCGTCGCTCACCGAGGCGCGCTCTATCGCGTCACACCCGTTATTAAGAGAGGCACATCTACTCCCGTCGTTTACCCGCGCCCAGTGCAGCGAACCGAGTCGTGGCGTATCAAAGAATCAGATATGCGGCACCCGCGCCTCAGCCCGAGGCGTTGTTGTCAACCGCGTTACGGCCCTTAT